CCGACCCCGGACCGCCCCCAGCCCCCCAAGCCAATTTCACGGAATCTGTCAGCCCCGAAAGGTCAGGCTGAGGCTAGGTGTCCTGCTCGTAGGAGCTCCCCACAAAAGCGAGATTCCGGGGGAGCTCAGAGCACGGCAGAGGGGATGAGCCGCCCGCCTGCGTGGCGTGTGTACGTCCTGGTCGGCCACCCAGGTTGCAGATTCGGCTCCTGCCTGGAGACTGAGCTCCCCACAGTGCCGCCACTCAGGGAGGCGGGGCGCAGAAGGGATGCCCACGGCAGCGACATCTGTCGCAGGCAGGCTGGATACAGGACCGAGCCGAGCCGTAGGCAGCGCAGCGGTTCCTGCAGCTTCTCCACGCCACCGGCACCGCAGCCGTCCTCTGTGGACTGGAGCGGTGCGTGGGGAAAGCCTGGAAGCTGCCCGAGGAGGTGCTACCCGTCACATCCTCTCCCCCCAGCTCTCCCGTCCCATGGGACAAGGGCTTCGGAGGCAGCGGGCCAGCCAGATGCTCCTAGCATTTAACATATCAGAGTCAAGGCAGCAGGGAAAAGAGAGTCTGTCCGCTCCCCTGCTGCAAGGTCATCATTTGAGGTGCACTTGTGACTGTAGGTCTGCGAAGGTGTTTAGGGACCCATAGTTAGCAACATTGTGACCATTTCTGTGCAGCAAATGGGGGAAACGGTGACAACCCCACAAATGTTCTCCATGAACATTTAGGCCAGCGATGGCCAGCCTTTTAGAGACTGAGTACCGAAACTGCAACCCAAGGCCCCTTATATATCACAGCGTCAGCACTGCCCCTGTGTGCGGTCTCACCCAGTGCGTGGCTGTTGGCTTTTCCACTGGTATTGCAGTGTTGTGTAAGAACCTTTTTCAGAGTTCCTGGATTACGGCTGACTGTTAACTCCAACAGATACACACCAGTGCTTCTCATACCTAGACAACTGTCAGTCTTAGACTTAAGTACCAGTATTTCTCTCAATCGTAAGAGTGCAGGCCTGGAACACAGTACAGCTACGCGCCAGCACTGTCCAGCGCTGTGCACACAGACTGCTTACAATACTTAGCGGATTTCCGGCCTGCAGTTCCATTTTTCCTGTAGTAGTGGAATTAGCCCTTGAGCTAACATAAAACCAAGCCTAAGAGGGCTTTTCTAAATTCTGATTAACCGTTTGAACGTTCCTGCAGCCAACCACACAGATCTTGTGCCTAATCCAGGGTATAATCTCCTTGTCCTGGTGCATGAGTTAACGTTGCACTGGGGCGTGTCTGCATTACATCAGCAAAACAAATCCTAACAGTTCCCCACTGAAGGCGGGTAGAGACAGAGGGCGCTCCTGGTCCTCACTGTCCTTGTCACTGCACACTCGGACACCAGGCCCTGATGCTGACCAAAGTGGCCTCATTCAGTCATCCCAGCTCTCCCGACAGCACACTCTGCATGGCCATCTGCTCGGTGCCGACTTCTAACCCCAGGGCTTAAGAGCTGCTCATTGTAGTTCAGCCTCTGCTGAAGAACTGGTATTAAGGTCATGCCTTGTTTTTTTGTTTGTTTTTTAAATTGCCATTACATGGCTGGTTTTATTCTCAAGGCCTCCAGCATTTTGGCAGCTAAACTGGATGACTTTTTAATATACAGTTTGTCTCTGTCAAAATCACTAATGCTGGTGATTCTCTTTATATTTTTTATGTGTTCTAGTGGCTTAATCAGTCCCCCAGCCTTTCTTAAGAGTGAAACCCCAGTGCAGAAGTCACTTGAAGCAGCAGAGTGGCTGGCCAATCATTTTTGTTTTCTTTTATGCTTTTAGAATGGCCCAATAAGAAGGGACAGAACATGAAATCATCTATAAGGAAACATAAAATACAGTTAGCTCACCAGAACAAAGAATGTGGATTTCTGTGATTTTTGATAATACAAAAAAAAAAAGAGATAAGTTTGATCTGTAAGAAAAAAAATAACCGATTTAAAACATTTTAAACTATGTAAACAACAGTTATGATGTGATACCTTGTGACATGCTGTTTGCTTTGCAGTTTTGGATAGTCATAGTACATTATATAAATAACAGTTGTCGTGAAAGCTGTTTGTTACTTCCCTTATTGACTGTTCACCAGGCATGCACTTCCTGATTCAGGCTCTCTAGAGATGATTATTTTTTTAGATGGGGTCTTTCTTTGTTAACCAGGCTGGCCTTGAACTCACAATCCTCCTGCCTCAGCCTCTCCAGTAGCTTGGATTTCATGTGCCAGCCACCACGTGGCAGCTTTGGAGGGAGTTTGAATGTGGCCAAAGATATTTGTGTATTCCTAGGAAAATGACTGCACGTGATTATGTAAAAATATGTTAATATGCATGGATTATGCTTATTGTAAGCAATTTTTGGCTTTATGTCAAGCTGCACATAAAATATTTAGTATGCATTTCCCAGTATAGTTAAAGCTACTGTAACTCCTTCTTCCAAAAAGGAAACTAAGATTATAATACAAAATATACCCAATATGTCACAGGTTTGAGTAGCGGGCACATGTCTGTCTGACCCCAGACCCTTCCCTCTGATCTACAGCAAAACTCTAGTGCTAAGATACTGGAAAGCTCCTGAAGAAGGAAAGTTATCTATGTAAGGAAGAACAGTAACCCTCGGGAACCTTAGGTGTCTTTGGTAGAACTAATTAGAACACTAAGGATGGCGGCTCTCTTGGAGAAACCCAATTCCTGGAGTTCCCCTCTGCAGTTGCCCACACAGGCGGTGCCAGGCGGGGAGGCTGTGCCAAACACAGCATTGGTTGCCACACAGGAGAACCGCTTGCCGCTCTCTGCCCCAGGTGTTCACCAAGGCAGTCGGGCCACAGAACCTTACCAGCCACTTTGCCTTACGAATCTGCTGAGGATCACTCCTACTGCAGCTGGCTTCCTAGAGGCCCAGAATGCCATCCTCCTCTGGGATGCCCATTCCAAGCCTGCATTCGGACCCCTCCTTTAGGAATCTGTGAAATAAAAACTTGCAGTCCTGCCAAGAACTCCTGAGATTTGTTCTTGAGAGGGACACATGACTTTAAGAGCCAGATAAAAACTGTAGAGCCTTTGGTTCTGGTTTTCATTTTTAAAATATTAATCATGAAGTTGAGTGTGGTGGCACATGCCTGTAATCCTAGCACTCTGGGAGGCTGAGGCAGGAGGATGCAAGTTTGAGCCCAATGCAGGCAAATTAATGACTTAGTGAGACAGTGTCTCAAAATTTTAAAAAATTTAAAAAGGGCTTGGGAAGTAGCTTAATGCTAAGGCCATGGGTTTAATCCCCAGTATTGAATAAAAGCATATATACATATATATGTGTGTGTGTGTATATATCACAAAATTATATATATTATATATACTAAAATATATATATATATATATATTAATTATACTAATAGTTGACATTTGTAGAGGGAAAGTCAGCTAATATTTAGGGCATTTATATTGTATTTCAATGTCAGTGTCTGCAGTTTTACATTGACATTTGGAGGGAAAGTCAGCTAATATTTAGGGCATTTATATTGTATTTCAATGTCAGTGTCTGCAGTTTTACCCGAGGAAATAGTTTTTTTAAATTATTAAACCCCCTCGAAACAGATTTTTTTTAAATCATGAAATTGCTATTCCAATTCTCTCCTGAAAATCTAGGCTCTGTCAAATGCTGTGCTTTGTTTTATTTGTTTCTAAGTAGATGTCTTTCTCCCTCTCTTTCTCTCTCCTTTATTATCATTATTATTTGCACCATTTGAGTGGTTATTTTTGCAACAAAATGTTTGAATACACACTCGGCCCTCCTCATATTGGAAAGCGGGGTGAAATAAAGAGCCTTCAGCCTTGAGAGACACCTGTTGCCCTGCTGCTGGAAAACTGAGCAGGCCTTTCCCACATGCAAAGCCTGCCTGTGAGTCGCTGAGGCAGTGCAGACAGCCGCTGGTCCAAGCGGATGCAAATTACCCCCATGGTATAAAGGAGGAGCTGAGAGCCCAGTTCAGTTACAGTAGCGTTTCATGGAAATTTTTATTTTCTTTACCCTTTAAAATGTGCCTAGAATTAAGAACATGGGCTAACCTCAGTCTTAGTCCCGTGAGGCTTTGCTAGATGAGCTTTCTGAGGCTGGGAGGCGATTGTCAGGGTGGTGATCAGGCAGCCCTGGGGTCCTCCTGGGAGGGGCTCTGTGGCCCACGCCTGTCTGGCCCCTCCCCAGCTTGGCCAGAGCCCGGTCCTGGTCCTGTAGGGAGGTCCTGTGCCGCAGCTCCCAGAGACAGAATGAACGGCCCCTTGCACATTCCCTGTCTGACCAGATGGGTTTGCTTTCTATCCCTGCCTTCCTCCTGGAACCCGATCACTTCTGCGGTCCACAGACGGACAGCGAGCGCACGGACACCGCGGCCGATGGGGAGACCACCGCCACAGAGGTGGGTATGGCTGAACCCAGCTCCCAGGGGCCTGGGCACAGTGCCCCAGGGGCAGCCCTGTGTTCAAGTGATGTGCATGAGCTCCTGCAGTGAGAACCGCTCTGAATTGCATAGCAGGCGTTAAGTGTGTTTGCCCGGCCTGGACCTGTGGTCCTGCAGCGCTGGCCAGGTCAGACTGCAAGGGCCCCGCCCGTGTCTCATTCAGAAGTGCTGGACGGGGCCTGAGGAGGTCTGTTCTAACAGGCTCTCTGGTGGTCCTGGCTGTTAGCCCTGAGGGTCCCATTTTGCGAAGCACCTGCACAAACTGAAGATACTGCTTACGCCTTCCAAGGCAAGGCTGTTTGTGTATAAAACCTTGGTCCTTGGAGAGAAGGGCGGCGGTCTCTTGAGTGTGCTTAGTGGCTGGGGACATGAGTGTGTCTTTACAGTCCCACGTGGTCAGTCATACTACACAGGATGACACCTTCAACTCATTTGATAGCCTTTAGTGACTGCATACGTCACTCATGAATGAATTCTCTAAGGAAAAGAAAATTTACACCCTACTTTTAGTTTTTGTTTTGTTTTTGGTACCGGGGATCGAACTCGGGTCTTTGTGCTTGCAAGGCAGGCCACTGAACTGCTGAGCTAAATCCCCAGCCCCCTGCACCCTACTTTTAGTAGTTTACTAATAAGCTATGAAAAAGTGCAAGCACACTGAACAAGAGATACTGTGCTAGTATGTCTCCTTTATTCTTTAAAACACATTACCTCTGTGTGTCTTGTGTCATTTCTAAAATCTGCCCTACTAGTATTTAATTAAAATATCTGTAAAAATGGATATTTGTGTGTAGTGATAGAAGTCAAGATGTTTATTTCCAATTGTGCTAGCCAAATTTAGTTTTTACTTTGTGATAAACTCTAGGTTGTGTGCTTTTTTTTCATATATCATCCGATCATAAGTGTATTTTCTAATTGGTTATTTAGGAACAACTAAAATTTCTGTAAGTGGCATCCGTGTATCACTTCATTGAAAATGCCTTCAGAAAACAAGATTGAATAGTGGCGTTTCATTAAGTTTCTTCCTTAGGAAATGCCAGAGTTAAAATAACAATTGTTTAAAAGTAACACATAACAAATAGTATAGTATTATAAAACCATTATTCAGATTCTTTCAAGCAAGCATAAATCAATCTGTTACAAGTTCATGCCGAACTACACTTTGATTTTGTAAGCACTCACTACAAGGAGGCTACAGGTTAGTACAGTCCATAAATGGTACCAAAACCCTACAGGTGCAAGAAGTATCAAATACTGTAGTGATTGTTAAATTTATTACATAACATTTACAGCATGCAAGTATGTATAACTAGGTTGATTAAGAAGCCTAAAAATACAGTGCAAGAGCTATGAACCCCACACTGAAGAATTCTCACCGCACCAGCACTTAGGGCGTGGGTGTCCTGCAGCCCCGTGTGCCTGTGTCCCCTTCCTTCGGTGGCCAGCACAGCAGCTGTGTCATGTGGGGTGGGCCGAGCAGAAATCCCTGTCCTGTCGGCAGATAAGAAACCTGAGACCCCATGGACGGACGTCACTCCAGGTCCCCACTGGGAGTGCAGAGGCTACAGCCCAGGCCCTGGGTCACAGCCACTTAGACACGGCTTCCCCACTTACCCCGTGTGCCAGGCACCCTCACCTGGCGGCTGCCACTCACAACCAGGGCACAGATTTGATATGTTCCTAAAATTGGGAAACTAAGAATAACTGAGTAGCCTTAGGAGTTTTCTTTATTTTAAATGTGGGAGCTTTTTAACTCAAAACCTTCTCTATTCTCACTTTTTAAGAAATGATAGTGTTCTTGGCTGTTGTTTCTTTCCCATTTCCTTTTTTTGGTTGTCCTCACTTAATCCACATCGGCCCTTTCCCCTCTGAAGCCTGTTAAGTGTATAGGTTCCAAAAAGTTCAGGTTCCAAAGAAATTTTTAAACGTAGGCACTTGCTGTATTCAGTTCTCTGGCCCACACGCTGAGCCCTTTAGGATTACTGTGGCCGTGTATTCACGATAAGGCCGCTGTCATTTGGCATGGGAGCCGTGCTCAGACCTGCACCCTGCACACTTGGGACCACTGCTGACGTTTGCTAGCAGCCTGCGGAGGCCCCTGTGCTGCCCCTAAGGCCAGAGACCCACTGCGAGGAGCCCGTCACCCATCTGTCCCCATTAAGCTTCCTGGCTCCTGGGTGAGAGCCTGTGGTGGTTCCTCTGTCCGTGGGCAGAGAGCACACTAGGGACCTGCGCAGTGTGAGTTGATAGAGATCAGAGTTGTTCTGTCTTAGAAAAACCTGCGTGGTGAGACTTTATTTCCCACTCTTTCTTGACGCTGGCAGTCGGACCAGGAGGAAGATGGAGAGCTCAAGGCACAGGTAGAAAATTCAAAACGAAGCAAAATCCCCAACCAGTTCGTGGCAAGTCCTTGTCTGCGGGTCCGGCCCCTCCGCATGCTCTGTGGCTGGCACCGCGTCCGTTCGGTGGTGTGTAGGACGGCATTGGCGCCTGGATGATGCTGGCCCTCACCTTTCCCTTTCTTCTCCACTTTTTTCAGAATAGTCTGATTAAGCGAATAAAGGGTGAAAATGTGTATGTCAAACATAGTAATCTTATGTTAGAGGTTGGTATTGGTCCACACCAGTGCATGCCGTGTGCTGTGTCCCCTGGTGGTGTCCCTGTGGCCTCGTACTGCCTGCATGAACTGTGTGCCCACCTGTTACCAACGGGGTGACCTCTGGCTCACTGTGATCCCTCCTTCTCTCCTAGATTTAGATCCCTTTCCCTCCGTGTATTGTAGTTCTCTCTGGGTACATGTGAATGACTCTCCTTGTAGTTTGCTTTTTGCAGTCCTTTTGACTTGTAACCCTGTGTGGAATCTTTCTTCTCTTTTCCCTGGAAACAGCACATTTTCACCAGAGTGTTTGTGGTAGTGTTGTGAGCCCTGATCAAAGTTCTGTTTTCTTTTGACTACTAATGAATTGACACTTAAAAAAAAAAAGCAAAAAGCAAAACAAATGAGAAAGCTGACTGTTGGATTCTTTACGTTCTGAATATAGGAGCTAGATAAAAGTCAAGATGAACTGATGAAACATCAGACCAACATTAGTGAGCTGAAGAGAACATTCTTAGAGACCTCCACAGAGACTGCCGTGACCAATGAGTGGGAGAAGAGGCTTTCCACCTCCCCTGTGCGGCTCGCGGCCAGGCAGGAGGATGCACCCATGATCGAGCCCCTCGTGCCTGAAGAGGTCAGTGTGCAGTCCTCACTGGGGTGGAACTGTCCCCTACTCACTGACCTTTCTCCACAGGGTTTGGACCCAGGAGGAGTTTGGCAGCTTCTGAGCAGGGAGCTTCCCCGCTTGTTATAGATGACAAGGTGCCTGGTGGCCCAAAGGACGGCTGCAGGGTTCTATGTACAGGAGGAGGATCACACGGGGTAGACCAGAAGTCCACGGGCAGACTGGAGTCCTGACCATAAGCCTAGGTGTCGCAGGTGGAGGACACTGAGGTAGCAGCTCAGTACCTTCCACGTTTTATAAATATACTTCCTTCTGCATCGAGGAATGCCCTGAAAACTCAGATATGCTGATGAGACCTGCTAGAGATTATCCGTTGTTGGCCTGAAGTAGTCAGCATTTCATAACACATTTTACTGTGCTAGACTACACTAGGATTTTACAGGTAAAATCGTGTTTTATTTGATTTTTACTCAGATCTGGTTGTTTCATTTGATTTTTTTTTTTTGCACCGGGGATTGAACTCGGGCCTTTGCGCTTACAAGGCAGGCCACCGAACCGCTGAGCTAAATCCCAGGCCTCATTTGATTTTTTTTAATGGGGAAGATAGAGGGCAGAAATTTTTTTTAGGTAAGACTTCTCAGTGTTAGAAAGCTCTCTAGATATGCAGCCTCGGGAGGATTCTACCAGTGCGATTTCATGGGGTCACTGTACGGGACCCCCAAATTGCTACAGTGCTCCTCTACAGTCTACCATTAGGTATATTCTTGCTTTCAAAAGGTGTTTTCACAAGTGCATCTTTTGAGCACTGTAGTGATTAACCCCCTTCATGTCAAGACCCCTTTATTGTCAAGTATCTGTTCAGGAAGCTGAGACAGACCAGAAAATTAAAACTCAGGCCCATTAGGAGAGAAAAGGCCTTTAAACAGTGGTCTCTGTGCAGTGCTGAAGTCCTTGGAATGAAAATAAGAATCAAATTACACCCTTTGTTGATCATTCTCTGCACCGCCTTTGAAAGCTGCTTATCAGAAGTGGCCAAGATCCCCTATCACTCCATGAGGGTACCAGTCCCAGCGAGAAGGGAAGAAGCACATATCTATTTGAATTACTTCGCAAAGGTCTTTTATGCAGAATTAATGAGAAGTGTTATTACCAGCCTATTCCTGTTCCATTAGACACCAGTTCCATTCAAACTACTTGAGTTTCAAGAGACAAAAATTTCATGTTTTGTGTGATTCGAACATAACAGTCCCTGCATTTGTGCCGTCACAAATTCTACAGTGATTGGTCAGGTGTGGCTCACACTATTTCTCCTGTCTTTTGGAAATGTGTCAGATGCCTGATTAATTTATATAAACACACAAACAGTGCCCTAAGCAAAACAAACAAAAAGAGCCAAGCATCCCTTCCCTTACCAACACTTAAAGAACCAGCAGTGGGAGGGAAATTTAGGTAATAGAGTATTTGAGGGAAGGCACTAATGAACAAGGGGACTCTGAAAGTCAGAGCCATTAAACTACTTCTTATACCTTCTGATTAAATCTTGGCTCTTAGAGAATAATGCTGGAGGAACCCCAGGAGTGTAATGATTTAAAGAGGTGATGTTTTGACTATAGGGGATTTCACCTGCATGCAAATGCCCTTTCTGTGTCAGCGCAAAAACAAAACGACAACAAAATCAAAACCTGGAGAAGGCCACAAAGGGATTTTTCAGCATGATCAAAGAAACATCCTCCGCAGATGAGCCTTGGCTGTCTGGGCTGGAAAAGCCAAAGTCAGGCTTGGTAGCTGTTTCTGGTTGCTGAGGAGGTTCTGCTGAGCTACTATGCGGCACATCAGAGCTCTGGCACCAGCCTGCCCAGGTGGAATGGCAGGATCCCCAGGCCAGGCACAGTGGCCTCTGCTCCCTTCTGTTCTTCTCCAGGACCTGCTGGTCACTGATAAATTCCAAGGTCATAGTCCACTGGGGTCCCTGTTGATAGTTTTAAGAACAAATCAGAAGGTTCTTAGGATGTAAATTACTGCCAGCTTTTGTTTTGGTACCAGGGATCGAACTTGGGTCTTTGCACTTGCGAGGCAGGTGCCGGAACCACTGAGCTAAATCCCCTGCCCACTGCCAACTTTTATATTAAAGCCATGGCTTCTGTTATTTTGTGAAGAGCATAAAAGATCATTTTATCCTTCTCACTAAACACATACAAAGCATATTTTGGAGGGAGGCAATTTTCAAAGTAAATTACTGAATTAGTCGGCTTTCTCCTCACTGGGACTCAGAATCCAATTCCAACAACTTAAGGGAGTAGAGGTGTTTTCGTCTCATGGTTTCGGGGGTTTCAGTCCATGGTTGCTGGCTCCGATGCACAAGTATTATGGTGAAAGAACATGGGAGAGCAAAGCTGCTTTAGTTTCTAAGGGCTGGGAAGCAGAGCCAGGGAGCAGTACCCAAGAGAGAAAGACAAGAACGACACACCATGCTTAGTCCAGACACACCCAGAAGTGTGCTTTACTAATGATCCCTCGGGCTCCAAGACAATGAGATTCACAACAAAGCTTAATGATTACGATTGCTATTATTTAATATGGCCCACTTTAAATTCATGCAACAGTAATCAGCCAATTTATGAAGAAGCCCAGCTATTTCTAAGTGGAAATATTTATCTTAATTTTTTTTAAATTGTTATCTCAAGATAATAGTATTTGTGTCAGAACCAGCTGTAACTTAGATTCAGTGACCCCAAACTTAGTGGAGTTTGCTTTTTTTGGTAAATCTGTGGTAAAACAATATTTTGAAAAAAAATCTAATGATCTCTGATTTTTAATGTTGCCATCTTCTTTTTTTTTTTTTTAATCTATAGTGGTTGAATCCTAAGTAATTGTTATGGCTTTAATATACTACCAATTTAGGAACAAAAGAAAATTTGAGCTTTAGAATATACTGTGCTAATAATCATGATTATATTCTGAGAATTCTGTGTGTTTACTATATAAAATGAGCATTCGGTTGCCATTGGCTTCAAGGTTCAGATCTCTGAATTAATAGCAGATAAGCAGCAGGGAGGCCCCCAAAGCCTAAATAATCTCAAGTTCTCATTAACATTGGAAAAGAGAAAAAAAACATACATAGGCACGGCCCACCAACTGTAGGAAGGGTAGGATAGGCCGGTGCAGGTTTCTAGCTGTGCATCTGTGCATAGCTGTGTCCTGTGACGGCTCTGTATGACACCCCTAGGCAGTCCGTGAGAGAGGCGTATTCCTTAGTGGTTACTTGGAGTCTAGAAATTTTCAAGCCTCATAATGCAGTGTCCACTCAGACACGTGCAGTACTAATGCTGTCCTCTTTCCCAAGTGAGATGTAGATTTGCAGGTATGTTCATTGTACAGTAATCCCTAAGGCTAAATACCCATTATTCACAAATTCTATATTTTCATGTTTACCTACTCCCTAAAATCTATTTGTAGAAACCCTTAATCACCCAAGAGTAAAGGGCAATTTTATGAATTATGTACGCCAGCATAGGACATTATTTCTCAAGCGTGAGATACAGCTGAATGTTTAGGTAGCTATGAGATGGTCAGGGTGTACATCTGACTATTCTAAACTTGAATAACATGCATTTTACCTGATCAGATTTTCTTTCTTGGTTCCTGTTCACTTCTCTAGTAGCTGAACTTACTGGGTGGGGAGGTTGACCACCCCTAGAATTAAGTTCTAAGGTCTCTCCGTTTACATTTTGTGTTTTTATTTTGACATACACAATAGCCTATGTTGATACTTCCAATGATGAAACAGAGTTTTAAAGTTAGTTTGTTTCAGACAGCAGGGTAAGCTGCTGAGCTTTTTCTTTTTTTAAGTTTTCATTTTAGGAATAATATTTAGCTCAGTGATTATAATTAAAGGCCCAGCAATGTTATTCCAAAGAACACCTATAATTTTGAGCTTCTCTTCCTGTGTCTCATTTCTGTTTGGAAAATAGGCTATGATTGAAAGGTTTTTTTAAAAAAAAAACCCACATTTAGTGATTCCACATGCCATGTTTTATCTTTTTGAAGACCTTCCTTGAAAATTGAGGCAGAATAGTATTTTTTTTTCCTCCTTTGAAAATGATTTATTCATCTGTCATTATGAAGGGTCCTCTGAGATTGGCACAGTCAAAAGCTGACAGTGGGCCCTGTGGGAGGATACCATACACATCCCCCTCCCTGCAAGTGTGTTTTTCAGGCAGTTGATTCAATGTTGTACTTGCAGAGGGACATAGAAGCTGGAATGATAGACATTTCCATAAATCTACATTGTTTCTAATATATTTAAAGAATCCCATTCTTCCAGAAACTTTGAACTTTCCTTGATCACTTTTTAGACCTAATTTTCCAAAATACCTTCTGTTCCTGCTGTGTGGAATTACATGCTGTGCAGAGATAGGTTCAGTAGCTACTGTGTTACCCCCTTGAATTATGCTGACTTAATATAAAAGAAAGGAATAAAAAAGAATTTAAAAGTAAAATATTTCACAAGATCAAATATTTACTTCATTATTTCCAATTTTATAAGTTAAAGTATGGTTTGACCTACTTAATTTTCCACCAAGATATAATGAATTTAACTTCTAAAAATTATTCATAGCAGAGCATGAAAGGACTCACCTGTAATCTCTGCACTCTGAGAGGCTGAGGCAGGAAGATCCCAAGTTCACTGGGCAATTTAGCAACTTATGGAGACTGCCTCAAAATGAAAGAAAAAAAGGGGGGTCTGGGGATTTATCTAAGTGACTTCCATCCCCAGTAACACCAAAAATCAAACAAACAAAATTCCATTTTATAAAAGTTCATATTTTGAGTATTTTTTATTTGTGACACAATAAAGAAATGAATCTAATGTAACTAGGATTTATTCAAATTAGCAAGTAGTGAACCTTGTGTGTAGTTCACTACCTGTAACAGGCAGTGCATGAGCAGGTAACACAACCAAATACTAGACTTAGGGTGAGGAGTTATTCTTCACTTAAGTTCTTACCAAGTTTCTTCACATTTCCATCTGATAATCACTTTGACAGTCTCATGCACAGCTGTGACACAAACAGTGTTCACATCTGAAATTCTTTCTGTCACTCTTGTGTGTTTCATGTTTGTAGAAATAAAAAATGTTTGGTTCATGTAAGCACCCAGTGTCAGGAAATAATCTATTACTCTTTGGAATAACAATTTGATTTTGAGATGGCTTTCATACCATTTTTCAAATTAGTGAAAAATAATTTGCTTCTTCAAGAAAAATTTAATGAATGCTATGAGTATATACATATATACGTGTGTGTGTGTGTGTGTGTGTGTGTGTGTGTAAAAGGACTCTCTTCCTAACTTGCCTTTTTGGAAACTGTCTACTTCCTTTTCTCCAACCCAACCCCCTTTATTCAAACAGACCAAAGAAGAAACAGAGATTTCTGAAAAAGTTATATTTTTGCAGCAAGGAAGTTCTGCATTCCTTGAGTCTCAGGTAAAAAACAAACTTACAGGATTTCCCAAAAGGAACTATTCTTTCTGTGGGTCACTGACGTGTCTTTAGTTTTTATTTCCTTTTGAAATGTATCTGGTTTAAACTAAGGTAGGTATATCATTTTTGCTTAGATTCTGGGGAAGATAGAAAAGAATTTCCTTAATATTTTGGTTACATATCATCTCTTTATGACTTCTAGATGATTGGCTCTGCTTATTATGATTGAAACTATGATTTTGCTTTCTGATAATAATCTTACTGAAATTGTATACTGCCTGTTTTACCCAGGGAATGGTGCTAATTTAGGTGACCTTGATTGATTTTGAAAGTTCTGAATTTCTACTGGTTTTCTCAATAGCCGAGTATGACAAAGAAAATACAAGAACAAGATTCTGCTGGGTCTGTGACTACTTCTCATCAAATAATTTTCCAGAAAACTGTCCCATCGGCGCTAGAGGTTATTTTTTCATTCATTTAGTCCACACCCACATGTAGATCACCCTGTGATCATTTTTTATTCAGGTACATTTATGTCAAAATTCAAGTTTTCAGGCTGTGATCAGTATGAAAGTAGAGACATCTCCTAGCTTAAAATGAAAACCAAAGTGCTGCCTTACTCTTGGTCTGAATTCTCTTCCCGCTTTAGCCTGTTACCCATTGCATCATCCTAGGTTTCCCTAACTGCAAAAGTTTCTTTACATTTTACTTCTTCCACCTTGTTGGAGCTATTACCAAGGAAAGTAGAAGGGCCAACTTCTGAGACAGTGAACTCCAGTTGCAATTAAGATCAGAACAATGTACCCACCACTAAGGCTTATGTATGAAAGGATCCTTTGGGTGAGAAGTACTTCCTTGAAGTATTTCCTTGAACTTGGGCCCACTCAGTGTTAATGGATAGTTAAGTACAGCCATGGACTTGCTTTCTTGTATATGGAAGTGTGATTTACAAACACAGAAAATGGCACATACAGAAATACGTAGAACAGTGCCAAATTCTCTGTAGAAAATACCACTACAGCAAGCATCGTAGTATATTTAACATGGAAACTATTCTTCTGGGTCCATACACCTTAAGCTCAGTAACTTGCACGACTTTGGTGATGTGATCTCATCTTGAAATACAAAATAATCAGAAGTATACCATAAGGTCAAAGGCAGTCCTTGCAAATTGCACCACCAAAATGTGTTCCAATTTAAAGAAACGTCTGCATCTGAAGTTGCAGCTCTACCCTGCAGAAAGTACTTCAAGTTGAAGGCCATAGTTAGTACACTTCAGATGAGGAGAGACTGAGGCCATGATTACAAGATAAAACCACCAGGCCTGTGCAGACCCAACACAGACCTCTTACCCTGAAGTTCTTCCCCTGATTTTTTTAAAACAATGTTAATTAGTATACCTTTGCAGCGCATAATGATTACATGCAGCACGGGCAGTGGGGTACATGCACGTAACATCTCCATTCTTTTTATGTCCCCTTCCTTAAAGGAGTCACATTTTAGAAATGAGATACCATCAAAGTTTCTAATTTAGTTTTTGTATTCCAAATATAGGGCACAGAGGACTGGGTTATTGTAGACAAAATACCCACTGAGGTAGTTGATGGTGAATCGAGAAAGATTGTAACTTACAAGGTGGTGACCGTGAGCAGTAGAGCAGGTGACATCCCGGCAGACCTGCTGAAGTCCAGCATGATGGAGGTGCACACCTTCGAAGGCCTGGCCCGAGAGATGCAGCTGAGGGAAGAGAGCACACAGAAGCTGTACACCCTGGGGAAATCCTACGACACTGTGTCGGGAAGAGTCATTACGATGACAGGGAGAGGGAGGGATGGGGAGAGGGCACCCCAGCCTTCCACGCTGGACGCGCTCGAGAAGATGGACACAGGGGTGTCGGAGCCGGGGAAGGTCATCCCTGTCCTGGCAGAATTCGAGGTCCTGCAAGCCCTGGCTGATGAGACGTCCAGGAGAGGACCCGAGCTCCCAGTGCCGAAGCGGAAGCTGTCAGAATCCCTCACGCCCATCAAGGAAGCCGAGTCCCGTCTGCAGAGTCCAGAAGAGGACATGAAGAGGACCCCCACGCAGACGGGTGAGGTGGCCGCCCACCCACGCCCAGAAAGTGTGCGGTTCAGTAAAGCCCAGCAAGCTCCAGAGGGCGAGGTGTTAAAAGTGGGGCTCTTTGGTCCCCGGAGGAAGAGCCTGTCTGAGTGGAGATACTCCCAGGAGCCCGGCGTCACGGTGGCCACTGCTCACTATGTCCCCGAGTCGGCGGCGTCCCGAGTGGTGGTAACCAATGGCTGTCATTCGGTCACGGTTTACGATGCCAGCATGACGTTTCTCGAGGCAGTGCCCTTCCACCCTGAGCCTTCCCGTCTCTCTCGCTGCTTGGCTTTGGGTTGCGAGCAGCCAGCCCAGCTTTTTTATTTCTTTCATGGTTAAATCAATACCGCGGCCAGAATCCCCACTGTGACACTTTCCCGTTTCGTTTCCAGCTGTGCGTCCCCCAGGTGCGGTAGTGCTGCTGTGGCTTTGCAATGGAGGGGAAAAGATCTGCTTAAACCGGCTCCCCCTCAACCCTGACAACGCCGCTTTACCCACTGGGAGCTCACGGCCACCCCAGTTTGCTGTTTTAGTTCCCATTCTTTTCTGTTTCCAGTCTGTTCCTCGGATCCCTTCATTCCTCCTCCTCCCTCTTCCTCTGCCTACGATTTGCCTAAGGAGCTGTGAATGCCTGTGCGCCCCATGGTCTCCCTGACGTCCTGACTCTGTCTCTCTCTCTCTTCACTCAGACTAAGCAGCCTTCTGGAGAAAAGCTCATGGATGGCTCTGAAATCCTCAGTTTATTAGAGTCGGCGCGCAAGCCCACCGAGTTCATAGGCGGGGTGGCTTCCACTGCGCACAGCTGGGTGCAGGTGGCCCGTTACTTCCTTCCCTGCTTGCTGCATGTGCACGTCTGCCTCGCTCTCTGCCCCGCTCTCTGCCTCTGTGGCCGATGGCGGGTGTGTTTTGCGTTGCTTTGCCTTCAGGGCCTCACCGGTTGCCCACGGAATGTGTCTGTCGTGTGCCTTTGGCTCCATTTCAAGAATATACTCCATGGGCCGGGGGTTTAGCTCAGTGGTTCCGCTGCCTGCCTTGCAAGTGCAAGGTCCCGAGTTCGATCCCCGGTATCAAAACAAAACAAAGGCTGTACTCCACGTGTTCAAAAGGCAATCATGGTGAGAAAATTGGGTAGTGTTTAACTTTCAGAAGCATTAGATCTCCTCTCTTGCCTCTGAGAAAACAGCCAAAACTGATGTGAATGTGCTCGGATGTTTCCATATCCTCTTTGGTTTGTGGCTTTTGTGGGCGTCTTGGAGGAGCAGCATGGGTCCTCGTGTGTGGGCTGGCACGCACCAGAGCTGGTTTTCTGTCAGTCTTCACTCATCCTAGTGAGCGGTGGCTTCAGTTGTTTGCTTCTGTTTCTGTTTTGTTCAGTTTCTGAAGAGTCACTCTGACGCCTCTGTCTTTCTCATACAGAAGGTGGAAACCAAGACAGAGTCCAGCGAAGCAGAGACAGAGGTGAGCCCGCAGCACCAGCCGCTCGGCCCGGAGAAGGTGGTGCAGGAGGCGGTGCTGGTGGAGGAGAGCCGCGTGACGCAGATGCACGCGAGCGGTTCTGTTTCTGTTTTGTTCAGTTTCTGAAGAGTCACTCTGACGCCTCTGTCTTTCTCATACAGAAGGTGGAAACCAAGACAGAGTCCAGCGAAGCAGAGACAGAGGTGAGCCCGCAGCACCAGCCGCTCGGCCCGGAGAAGGTGGTGCAGGAGGCGGTGCTGGTGGAGGAGAGCCGCGTGACGCAGATGCACGCGAGCGGGGACGCTTCCCACACGGCGGGGACCGAGGCGGAGACTGCAGCGCAGTCCGCGAAGGAGGGCTCTGCGCTGGCCGTGGACACCAGCGCGGAGAGAGGGACAGAGGCCGCTAAGCCTGACCTAGGACAGGAAGACACAGCCACTGCCTCCCACAAACAAGAGGAGGACCGGGGAGCTGCCGTCCCCGTCTCTGAAACTCCGGAGCCAAAGGCCCAGTTCGAGGTAAGGAGGCCGCAGTGCTGTACCAGTGGGCGATGTGCTGGAAGGAGACGGCGTGGCTCGATTTCACTGCCCACCTGCCCTGTGTGTAGTTTGTTTTTCCACTTCCTTCCATCTTGCATGGCGGTTGGGTTTCCCCTGTGTGGTGTTCAGCTCTAGGGCACCATGGACATCTGTCGATTATTAATAACCTGCAACTCCAGGAAGTGACTTCTGTCACTGAAATCATCCTTCTTGTCAGTGACCCAGAGGGAGAAATGGTTGGCCAAGATGTTAGAAAATTTGATAGATGTATTTCTCGTCAATATACTCATCCAGAAGAAAGACCAAAATTACATTTGCCCAGGTTCCAAGTGCCAAGAAGTTATTTTTTATTCTTTTTTATTAGAGTCCTAAGATAAGTGGGGAGCACTGATGTCTTAATACTTTGTTCTGTCTTTCGAAACTATTAGATGTCTTATTTAGTTTTTTTCTTGTTTGTTTGTAAGGGCTGGGAATTTAGCTCACTGGTTCTACTGCCTCCCTCACAAGCACAGGGTTCCAAGTTCAATCCCAGGTACCAAAACAAAACAAAAACAACTAAGTGTTTGTTTTAGTGCCGGGGATCGAACTCGGGACCTTGTGCTTTCAAGTCAAGCATGGACACCACTGAGCTAAATCCCCAGCCCTTAGATGTCTTATTTAAAGTTTTGATTCTAAAATTAGTATATGAGATGGAAGAGTGGGACATAAAGACAATGGTTGTTTTTTTGTTTCTTTTTTTTTTCTTTTGGTACCAGGGATAGAACTGAGGACCTTGTGCTTGTGAGCCAGACACGAGCACCACTGAGCTAAATCTCCAGCCCTCTAAATGTTTTCTTTATCTGGAGTGTTCTGTATTACAAACATCATGGACTTGGAGGAGACTGAAATATATTTGTCATGTGTCTCATTACCCGAGTCCCAGTGTAATACTTAGACACTTGTTTCATCTTAACTTGTGCTTACGTCAAGTACTACAGTACCAAAGCATGCCAAAGCAGAGAGGAGAAACCCAGGACTGTTCAGACTAACTGCCACTCTGCCCACTTGTCTCCTGCACAGTCATCAGCCATGCAGACGGAAACCGTCAGTTTTGGCAGTGTTTCTCCAGGAGGTGTCAGACTAGAAATTTCTACCAAGGAAGTGCCAGTGGTTCACACAGAGACAAAAACCATCACATACGAATCATCCCAGGTAAGACAGTCTGTGAGGACCACTCCTTGTTGGGCATTTCCTTCTAAAGCTACAATATCTGATGGGTGAGACTTCCGGCACGGGTCCCGCACCCAGACCATGTCCGTCAGTAAGAACTGTGATCGTGTTTCTGACATGGCAAGCAGGGGACTTCACCAGATCTTAACATGTGGGAAAAACATAGAAAAGGCCTCAGAACTGAGCCCAGTGACCACCGCAACGAGGGCGCGTCCCTGCCATTGTCTGCTGCTCACAATTCCAAAGCACCTGTGTGTTAGTGCAAGGACGGTCAGCTCAGCGCTGCTCAGCTCCTGCACATCCCAGTAGCTCCCAGACCCGACGGCACAGTGCTCGCCGAGGCAGGCGTCCTCCCTCCTCCTCGTTTCTGGGTCGGCGTCCTGGACCTAGTGAATGACCCGACCTGCAGGCGCTCAGGACTCTGGCAGCCCTTGCTTGCGGCCTGCACTCTTCCTCCTGTGCTATTTAAATCATTGCACAACATGCTGTAAATGCTGTGTGAACAGCTGTTGCTCTGTGACTCAGGAGGAAGGAGAGGTGGAAAGAAGGCCTCACCTGTTCGTTAGCGACTCCAGTTCCCCTGAATATGTTCAGTGTGCAGGTAGCCGCGTCCTCAGAGGTAGGCGGTGCCCACGGCTATGGAGGGCTCGGCTGCACCTCAGACGCGGCTCAGCAGGCTTCTGCGGGCTGTGTAGACAGGGCTGTGTGTCTCCGCTTGCTCAGGTCGATCCCGGAGCCGATCTGGAGCCAGGCGTGCTGATGAGCGCCCAGACAATCACCTCGGAAACCACCAGCACCACCACCACCACGCACATCACCAAAGTAAGCAGGTGGAGCCGGGGAGGCACCCACGAGAGCTCCTGATCGACGGGGCAGTGACTTGATGTTTGGGGTGCCAGGCATGTTCCCTGCAAAGGGGGCTCTTCCAGCTTCCATATTTATGATGCGGTTGCCCCATGCACCAGCTTCTGCTCACACCCTGCACTCAGTGCCCCCTCTGCTGCTGGGCACAAGGCAGGCCTTCCGGAAACCCTGGCTGCCCAAGCCCAAAGGGCTCCTCTGTCTCCTCGTTTCTGGAATCACATTTGCTCCGTAACTGCAGCGGTCCGCTATTTCAGCTCTGGAAGACTGAGTGTGGACGCTGCCTAGAGCTGTCCCCCTCCCTGCCACCCCTCCCCGGCGATGGTTCGCTCCTGCCGGTGAGTAATTCCTGCCGTCTCCTTGTCTCCTCCAGACTGTGAAGGGAGGCATCTCAGAGACCAGGATTGAGAAGAGAATAGTCATCACTGGAGACGCCGACATTGACCACGACCAGGTAGTGTTGTCAGGCGGCCCGAGTTCCCTTGGCGGACACAGGCGCAGCCATGCTGGCCCCGCAGTGCCCCAGGCTCTTCCTCCAGCCCAGCATGTATCCTAAGAAATTTTCGGAATTCACTTTCCCATATGTGACTCTCGGTTCCTTTTGTAATTGCTGTACCTCGTGTGTAAATGATGGATACAGATTTAGCTCATAAGTCTCCACTTCGCTGCCGCTCATACACGTCCCACCTCCTTTTTGTTTTTGCCCTTCTGTGATTTCCCGGGGACAGGCGCTGGCTCAGGCAATTAAAGAAGCCAAAGAGCAGCACCCTGACATGTCAGTGACCAAAGTAGTGGTCCATAAAGAGACCGAGATCACGCCGGAAGATGGAGAGGACTGACCGAGGTAAGAGCACCTCTGACCACTGGCCTGCCGGCTGGCATGTGGCATGGGCCGGTTCCCTCTCTTCCCTCGCCTGCTCCCTCCTCTCCTTTTCTCCCTCACTGGCATTTGTGGGGCTGGTTCCTGAGAGGATGGAGAACTGGACACCAGTCCGCCTCAGACTGTAAGGCTCCAGCTCGCAGTGCTTTGCATCTACCGCCCGTGAGAGGGGAAAGGAAAAGCAGTCACTGCTTGAGCAGTCTCACCACTGTTGTCTTCTAACCTGCACACTGCACTCTCTTCATTAACCGAATCTGAAATATCAGATCTGACTTCACTTGCCCTGTGGCTTAATCAGAACTAATGCAGTTTTGTTCTAAGAGGTGCAAGTTGTTTGTTCCAAGTAAAGGGGAATTAAGTAGACCCCTTTTTCCTTTTGATAACAACGTCCTCCAAAGCTTGCTCTTCAACTGTTTGGTCACAGCCTGCTTATGATTGGGGGGTGTTTTTCTTGTCTTTAATTTGAAACCTGAGCACACTCTTCCTTTTTGGATGCCATCTACTTCCTGTGTTCTGTATGATGACTTGTACTATTGTCTCTGGGGAGAGGCAGATGTGCAACCGTGTGTCCTGTTTTCCTCCAAAAACCGCATGCCTCGCCATACACTGTGCAACCACCTCCTGAACACACCACGTCTCTGAGTGCACAGACTCGTCATGCGTGCTGACCTACTGTGCAGGACTCATGGGTTGTGAGCATCCCTTAGAGAGCTCTGAATGCTGGATGCAACAGCCGAGCCTCCTGTGTGTTTATGGGACAAAACACTGCAGAGGTGTAATGAACCAGCTCTCTACAACGGGTTCAGAAACCTTAAGGTTGATGAGTAGCGCCACTTGGAGAAAACAAATTTTAAAGTCACTTCTATTCAATGAGTAATGTATCGGGGAAAATGGGAAGCAAACAGATTTCAGCCGCAGCCACTTGGGTGATTGTCATCACTATGAGAAAGCACATCACAGACAGTGACACAGGCTGCAGCATTAGGGTGTCTTTGCAGAAAGAGCATTTTCGCCTGCAAGTGACTTCCCCTGGGACCCTGACCTGAGCAGAATTCACAGCTATTTTCAAATGAGTAACTAATCCAACCTCTTTTCTACAGGAATAACGTAGCTTGCACATGAATCCAGTATTTGCGAGCCATTAGGAAAACCAGAGCCTCTAAGGAGTTGCCACTTCTAACCCCGCTGACTGTATCTGTCCATGGAGCATCCCAATCCAGAAGAATTGGCCTTGACCATCCGCAAAGACCCTGGCAGAGAGATCTTCCCCAATAAAGCAATCTGAATCAGCATCACTAAACTGATAGTGCATGAAGCAACGATAAAATTACAGATGAGCAGCATTTTTACTTTTCACAAAATGTCTCCGTTTTCCACTGTACCTGCACGCTCACCACCAACAATATAAACTGTGATCTCATGTAACACATCAACAGTTCATGCCTTTCATAGTTTATTATTATTAAAGTCTCAACAAAATTGCAATTTCTTAGGTGACAGACCTTTTGTTTACAGATGCAGGAAGATGACCGTGCAATGCTAGAGGCTGTCTAGGTCTGGTGTGTCCGATTTATCCCATATTAGATGTGCCAATAACCAAGTCTATTCAGTAAACAACTTGAATCTTGTTCTTGTTTCATCTGGTTGTTTTATTCTCACCCACAAATGGTAGAGACTCTCTGACCCTCTGGAAATATTTAATGCTTACACTCTTGCTTTGTGTACCTAATTTAATCCTTCAAAAGGTAGAACTGATTTTAGCACATTCACGTGATCTCTTCCTCGTTGTTTGCTCTGGTCCGCACTCAATCTGGAAAGCTACCCAGAGTTCTCTAACAAGTCTCAAATATGTAAATTGTCATTGTTTTGGGAAGAGAACCTGTGCTTTTGTTAGTTTATAATATTAAGAAATTTCACTCCCAGAAAACCCAGTAGGTTCTGTTGCTGAGTTCTCTTTCCTTGTATATGTTTCATTGATTTTCTTTTCTTCTTTTACTTGAAAAGGAGTTTTATTTCCAAATATGGTCCATATTTACAATCTAGTTCAGAGCCAAGCCTTAAACTGTACAGACTTTCCACTGTAATTAAAACTATTTAGTGTTTAGTTATAAATAGCCTTCAGAAAGATATATTCTCCATTACACTGTCAACTGCATTACACCCTGTGGTGAATGATGTTTCTGCATAGCAAAATAAAAATGACAAATGCATTGAAAACTCTTAATTTTCCATGTTCAGTAATTTCAGTACTGAGTGTGTTTAGCAATAAGGTAATGTGTGACATCAGAGGCCCATTCACTCCTTTGTCTGCACTGTATTAAAACCCTGTGTGTTCGGACTGAAACCCAAGTGTGTGCAATGTACTGTGCGTAGACCTTTCAAGTGGTTGGCAGTATGAGCAAAATGTCTTTATATAAAGTGCTTGGCTGCCTGCAATGGTTTCAAAGATGACCTCGTAGAATATCATTTTCAAATTTTCATTTTGTTGATAAGTCAAGAGGCTCTGTGTTGCTGCATGCTGTTTATCTACCAGAGAGCCACCTCTCTTTGGAACATCAGCCTCCACAGAGCCCACTACAAAGGCCCGATCCACAGCCTGATTGTGTCTACTGCTCAGCTTGTCCTTAAGCATCATTTTCATTGCTTGTGGTCAATCAAGACTTTTTTGAAGAGTAATACTTCATTTAGGCCTATTTATATGAGTACACCTCAAACTTTAATTTGGGTCCACACTGTACCCTTATTTGCTGTTCTCTGATCTTGGTAATAAGTACTCTTTTCTTTCCATGAAATTATACTTTTATCAAGAGTCACGTTTCAACCTGCTGTTCTTTCTTTATGATGCTCTTCACCTGGGTTGCAAAGCCTGTCCAAAATAGGTGCTTGTGACAACAGTACAGTACCCTCCTCCTGGTACCAAATCTGTTTTGTTTTTTTATCATTATAGAAAAATTATCCAAAAAAAAAAACAGTAGCAGTTGCACATGTAGCACAAGTATTGTCTCCTGGAGTCAGGGCATAGAGTGGCAGGGCTCTTAGAGATTGCATTCGGTGTCACCTGGGGCTGAATCTCATCCAGAAGCCACACGGTGGGACCCTTTGCAAATTTCCTTGGGGTGTTAGAAGAATTTATTTCCTGGTGGCCTTGGGGCTCATGCCAGTTGCTTCTTCAAAGCTAGCAATGAGGAGGAAACACCAGCAGATGTGGCCAGATGGTGTCTTACACGACACAGCGCAGCCAGGGGAGTGGCTTCCTATCACCTTGCTGTGATGTACTGATTAGCAAGTCAGGCCTGTGCCTGTAGCATCACCCATATTTGAAATTTGGACTTAGAGATTAGTCCATTCCTAACATTCCCTAATCCAGTAGTTTTCAAGCTGGAGTTCACTGACTCATAAACTATTAATTGCTCAGGCAGCTCTGTTTCCATTTGCCACGAGTCCTGTAAGTATGCAAAGGCACTTAAAATATTGTAATTCAGAAACCAAAGAATTCTACTAGAGATAAGCATCCTTCACAGAAAACCATCCTGAGGTGTCCCAAGGTTCAAGTCGAGCCTGGTAAGAAAACAAGAATATAAGGTTCTCCTGAATGAGCAAATAAAAACCAAATTACAAACCTAAAGGCATATGGCTGGACCACACTACTGATACCTGTAATTTCATCCTAATGACACGAGAATTTGCAGAAACATCAGTTACAGTCTCAACAAGCCTTTTAAAAAGTTCTGCATTTTCTCTGCACTCTTCTAAAGTGCACTGCAGAGCTCGGCAAAAAGACTGAGATGCCCAAACGTGTGCTGCTGCAGGAGAGAAAGGCGGGCACTCCTTGGGGCATGTGGCTTTGGCCTTGCTTCTCTCTCCCAGCTGAGCTTCTTGATCGCTGCACTCATTCCCTGCAGACTTCACAGGGCTGCCCTGTCCTGCTGCTTAGGCTCAATGCTTGGATCTTGCCCCTGGGTGATGCTCAACCCATTCTTCTAAACGAATATAATCCACTTCCTTATATCAGCTTCTCTCTGGAACATCTATTGCTCCGTTATTCCAGTCAGCATGAACTCTAGCTATTTTTTAAGTACACGGAATCTAGAACTTGAATCCAAAATCGTCTAACTTCCAAACTATGGTTGTACATTCTCTGCATTAAATCCCCCCCGCCTCTCTCACTATGCCAGCCAGTGGAAGAAATGCCAGTGCCCGCCGTAGCTTACATGGAGACAGCCTTGTATTTCAACGCGCACTTACTCATGAAGCAAACCTGGATGGCTCCATTTAAAAAAAAAAAAAAAAACATTTTTGTGGCAGGTCATTGGTGCATGTAAAATTGTGCTCTCAGAAGTGACATTTTGACAAATAGTTTCTTAGAGCGTTTAGCTCTGCAGAAAAGAGGATGAGGAGCAGATCTTCCTCCACAGCTGTGGATATTAACACACGTGTGTTACACACTTGGCAGCAGAAAGCCTGGCACTGGGGGACGTTGGTGTGCCCCACCCCAGCCATCTGTCCCTTGTTGCCCATCCCAGAATGCCTTCCACCTGTGCTTGCCACCATGGAATTACAGGACACTGAAGATGTCCAAGAGACAAGTCTAGCTAGGAGTAAGAACTTGTTTTTACCCGCGTCCTGTTCATCCTGTCAGATAAGACAAACCTGGAGACGTTCACGTGCTGCCTGCCTCGATGGTCCCTTCCCCAGCCTGCCAGTGGTGTGTCCTCACTTCCTCTTTGACGTAGCCACGGCACCATGTCCAGACTTTGTGGCCTGCTGACAGCAGCCCACAGGGTCCCAGCCCCTTAGGCTGTCAAGGTCTCTGCAGGTTTAAAGTCTCATCTTGTCACTCCTATCAGGCCAGGGATTTAGCTCAGTGGTGCTGCTCCCTGCCTCACAGGGGCAAGGTCCCGAGTTCGATCCCCAGTACCAAAAAAAAATCTTGTCATTCCTAGCTTAACATGGTGTTTGGCTTCCCACTGCTCTCAGTAGGAAGTCCTGAATTCTTCAGACTGGGTCTGTAGCCCTCCATGGTCTGGCTCCTGGCCATTTGCCCAAACGTGATCACCACTCCAGTTCCTTCTTTCCCTGCTGAAACACTGTTAAAAGCTGGCACTGTCCCCGGCCGTTTCACCAGGTGCCCAATTTTACCTTCGATCTGAGCCCACATGAGCCTTTCTGGGCTTTACCCATCTGCCTTTCCTGCTGTACACTCGCAAAACAGCATCTCCTAATAGCATGTGTCTTTTGCACCATGCAGTTGTCTGCTCAGTCCCTTGAATGGGTCTTCTGGAACTCGTGTCTTCCAGATGGCGGCCCCCCTCAGGCCAGTGCCTGGATTTCAAGAGTGACACTCAATCTGTGCATGAGTGGATGGACATTCTGACAGAGCTTTCTTGGCTAACGTCAATCCACATCAGCCATATTTTTTTCCCGGAAGCCCAAAAGTGGTCCGGATGGAGTGTTTCCCCTAGAAGAGTATTTCCTGCAGGAGTCTGCCGCTCCTGGTCCCTCTGTGCGGTGTGACCGCTGTTCCTGCACACTCACTGACCGGAAAGTGCTCTTCAGCCCTGCGTCTTGGGGGAGACAGGGAGATTTGACTCCCTGTGGGGACGATCACACACCTGCTGCCCAGCCTCAGGTTCAGGTCTGATTCTCGAAAGCCTGTGCGCATGGAGGTCGTCCTGAGCACGGTGCTGCCCGGGGAGAGCCAGGTGGGAATCATCACCACATGCAACACACATGGGCAGCAGGAAGCCCACCCTTGAGTGGCGCCTTTCCTGAGGACACGCATCCCTCGGTCTGGACGTGAGCAAGTAGCACAGGTTGGAGCTTCTGGGTTCTTTTTCTTCCTTTGTTTCCTTCATGCCTGCCCTTTCCTGCCCATGCTGTTGTTTTGTGTCTTCATCCTCTCTCGTCTGGACCGCTGCACTCACTGCCCACTGGCTATCCCTTCTGTCCTCCCACCACCACCACCCCTCAGCCCTTTAGCATGCTCACTTCCCTGACTGATTTTAAAGCATCATCATGGCACAACCAAAAAGGCTCTATTCTTATACTTAAACTTGACACCATAGATCATGCTAGCCCCCAGCTTTCTATCTTTTACATAATTCTACAATACCAATTTCATACTTCCACCGGCGTGGCCAACACACCAGTATCACAGCACTGTGACCCAGGTGACAGAAGCAGCCCAAATGTCCACCAACAGCCAAGTCAATTGCAATATTTGTGTACAATGGAATATCAGTTAGGCATAAAAAGGAATGGAGTTCTGAT